GGTGTTAGGGGCACCCCGGTGAGGCAGAGGCCTGACCTGGGCTCTGCACGGAAGGGTTTGCTGGTGGATCTGCAGTCTGATGGGGTGAGTATACAGTGCAGTCTTCCCATAGTCCCTCTGAGTGCGTTATAGGAGTAATGGGTAATTCCATTGAGGTGGTTCTGTCGTATTTTTTTCTGTAGGCAGCAGCAGAAGACATAGTGGCAAGTGAGCAGTCTCTAGGCCAAAAGNGCAAATAAAAGGTTTGGAAAAGGTACTGATGGGTTTAGGAGGGATTCAGGTGAAAAGAATACTCTCTCTTGCCCTCTCCCCCCCACGCTGTACAGCAACATTTGACAAATTTGTGGTCATCTTCACCAACTTTGGTTTTAAGATATCCTTCTTCCAATGCTAGGGGGGGAAACGGGGAGGATTCTCAGTGTTGAACTGTTACCGGACTCAGGTCCAGCTGCCCGCACCCTTGAAAAGGAAAGAAAAAAACCTCAGAAGTCAAACGGTTGGTGTTAGAAAAGCAGATGTATTCAGCTGAAGGAGATGGTAGGCTGTCCCATTCCAAAGATTTACATTTACTGAGGGGTTTTTAAAGGAGGGAGAGAGGGAATGGAATGTGGGAGGTGAGAAGTAGGAGAGCAGGAGACGTGAGTTACGAGGGGTCCATTTCTATGGGTCAGGTACAAGGTCTCCCCAAGGCCTCCTCTGGTTTCTGTTCTCATCTTTGCTGTTATCTCAGGACCCTGCAAGATTTTGATTTGCACCGTGTACTCGGCTGGAGCCCAAGGTCAGCTTCAGTCATAGGACCTTGATCATTTCTCAAAACTCTACAAGTCTCAAAGAAAGAACTGTTATCTTTGCAAAGAAGTAATTAGCTTCTCAGCCTTGTTCTCCTACTTAGCGAGATAAGAAAGGGGATAGGTAGAGAGAAAAAAATTATCCTTTTAAAAGTCCTCCCCCCGCCCCTCCCCCCAGCCCAGGCAGCTTTAGGTCCCAACATGGCTTCAGTCCTGCTCACTCCAACAGGACTTGACCAAACAGCAGAGGCAGATAACAAGCTAGGGGTCTGGGTCAAGACCTGCAAGTTTCTTCCTCAGTAAAGAGTAAAAAACGCTAAATATCTTGGAACATCTTCAGAAGGGAAAAGTGCCTGAGGGATAAGGAAAGTGCGTTCTCCTTAGCCGACCCTACAGTGAGGAAGAAATCACTTTTCACACGCATCCACAGAAATGCCCCCAGGAACCTCCCCGCAGCACTTCAAAATCCTGCAGGCTAGTGTACCACAGACGAGA